GGCGGCGGCTGCCCCCTGTGTTGGGGGCAGGAGCCGTGAGTTCAGGAGGACCCCCAAATGCTCAGCTTTCCTAATGAGTACAGTAGAGATAATTTGGTTTAGTTAGGAAAGATTCTTATTGGAGATAGAAGAAAGGGCTACAGATGTTGAGTTGGCAGCAGAAGTTTTTAAATCATCCAAAGGACTCTGGGAACAAGAAAAGAGAGGGACTGGAGATAATAGCAATTAAGATGGGCATAGACAGCTCTAGCTTTTGAAAATACGATTTTAATAAAGAATGTAGACCAGTAAACGTGAGTCGGAGTGGACAATATATATTTATTAAATGCTTCTATGCTGCTTCAATAGGACAGTAGCTTACAGGAAAATATACAATACATATAGCACACTAAAATAATCCAAAATATCAGGTATATTTACTTATTAATACTATCAATATACATTCAACATCATCACAATAGTAACAACACCACTTATATTGCTGAAGGTTTTTTTTGTTTGAGGACATGATCTAGAGAAGAACATTGAAGACCCAAAGAGCAGAATGTGTCATAGGGCATAATCTACCCTGCACAGATGATCCCCATGAATAGGATAGAAGGAAAGAAGTTCAAAGTCTTACCACTCAAAAAAAACCCTGCCATCCTAAGATAGAGTGAAAAAATGTCACCAAGCTCTAAGTCCTTCGTTAACTCTAAAATTAAAAAATAGGTAGCATTAGAAATAGTTGTAAACATCTAAGTTAAACACACACAACCTGCAAATGTGCATGCTTAGAATTATTTTAGACTTCCTTGAAACAAGTTTGGGTGGAGGGAGTAATTCGCAATGTAGTGTAATGCAATTAGTTGGTCAAGTGAGATCAAGACAATAAAACTTGGCATGCTTCTTTAATATATTTCTTAACAGAAGGATTAATAGAGTTATTTCCACACAGTCATTCATCAAATCCTATGAACATGTCAGATGTCACAGTCCCAACATCCTCTCTCATCACCCTATTTGTCAGGGTAATCACATGCAATCGATTAGACTGAAATAGCATAGAAGCCATACTAATAAAATAGCATGAGAAAAAAACCATTCTCACATTGCTTGCAGGAAGTGAACTGCCAAGGTTCATTATCCAGGAAGGGTAGTATGCTGTTGGTTTCTTCTTCCCTTGTGAATGTTTCCCTTGTTCCCTTCTTCTCTTGTGAATTTTCAAAGGAATAAAATTCACAAGGGAAGATGAAAACAACACACTACTCTTCCTGGATATCCTCATCAGCAGAGGAACCGATGGCAAATTAGAAACACAAGTCTATCGAAAAACAACCCATGTTAACCAAGTGCTCCATTACCAAAGTAACAACCCAACCTCCCACAAGAGGAGCTGTGTAAGAACATTATTCAGACGAGTACAAACACAATGCACCAACCCAGAACACCAGGAAAAAAAAAAGACTGCGTATACAACATATTCCAACAAAATGGATACCCACGCAACTTTATCAGAAAAAGCCTGACCACTCAACTCAGTACAGCACAACCAACACAAGCTCTGAAAAGGATAACACTGTCATACATCAAAAACATTTCAGAAACAACCAACAGACTATTGCAACCACACGGCATCACTGTAGCACACAAACCAACTAAAGCCCTCCAAAACATCTTAAGTAAACCAAAGAACCCAAGAAAAACCAGGAGTTATCTACAACATACAGTGTAAGGACTATAACAGCCTGTAGGACAGACAGGCAGAAGATTAGCAGAGCACATCCATGAACACCAATTAGCAGTCAGAAGACACAGTGAAAACTCCTTAATCTCACAACACATGGACAGACTCAACCATAATTTCAACTGGGAAACTGTGAGTATCCTCGATAAAGCTAAATCCAAAAATGCTAGGGAATTCCTGGAAGCTTGGCATTCAGACAAAACAGCCATCAATAGACACATAGAG